CCACTCAACTTTTGCCCTTGTTCCTCTAATAGCCTCCCAAGCCGATTTGGTAGAGAAATCCCCCGAAGGTGAGGGTATCCAACAAATCTTGTCGTCAACATTGGAAGGTGTGAAATTCACAGAATTCTTTATATTAATAAGAGCCCAAGAATTGGCACTTGGCCACTTCCAATTGCATCCATCAATCACAAAACTCACCTTAGCATCTTTAGCAATCCCTGCATCATAAATAATCCTTTCCCCATAGACACAAACAAGGGGGCCGCTCGAGTGCCAGTTATCAAACCAAAGAGAGGTGGTATTACCATTGCCAATGCGACATTTGATATTCTGTCTAGCCATTTCCCTACTTTTTAGGATATGTCTCCATGACCATGTACAATTTTGGGGAATGCTTATGTCCCAAAAGCTTCTATTTCTCAAAAGATGAATTCGGACCCAAGAGACCCACAAAGTATGGTTTCTATGATTGGACAGGTTCCAAATGTGTCTTAAAAAACTGGCGAGGTTCCATTCCTTACATTTCATAAACCCAAGCCCACCCTCATTTTTGGGTACACATACCTCCTCCCAAGCTATTCTAGCTTTGTGTCTATTCATATCAACTCCGACCAAAGAAAAGCTCTCAACCTAGCATCAATTTCCTTCTAAACTTTGGAAGGAAGAATAAAGAGAGACGACCAATAAATCTGGAAACCCCAAATAATCGACTTAATCAAAATAATCCTCCCCGCATAGGATAAAAACCTACTTCTGCAAGAGGTAACCCGAGCCAAGATTTTATCCAAGAGAGGTTGGCAATCCCCAAAGGTTAACTTAGAGGTAATAAGGGGTACACATAAGTATTTGATGGGTAGAGTAGCCTCGGCAAAACCTATCAAAATTAAGAGTTCCATCTTCTCATTGTCATTCACACCAGAAAGGAAGATATTGCTCTTATCGGGATTAGCACTCAATCCTGACCAACTTTCAAAGGTAATTAAAGCATTCTTAAGGAGAGATAGAGAAGTACCTTTGGCTTTAAAAAAAAGCATGAGATCGTCCACGAAACAAAGATGGGTCAGCCCCATTTTCTTGCATCTCCAATGAAAACTAAAGTTTGGTTTTGCTGCCACTCTATTCAAGAGCCTAGAGAGAACCTCCATAACAATAACAAACAAGTAAAGGGATAACAAATCCCCTTGTCTCAGCCCTCTAGAGCTCCCAAAGAAAGCCACCAGCTCCCCATTGATGACCACCGAGAACCAAGGAGTAGTGATGCATTTGGATATCCAATTGACAAGTACACTCGGGAATCCAAAATTCTTAAGGACTTCTAAGAGAAACTCCCAATTAACCGAGTCATAAGCCTTCATTAAATCAACTTTCAGAGCACACCCTTTCTGTCTTTGGCCGAAGCTCAATCGTAGTTGTGCACTAGCTCTAGGCATAACCGGATATTATCTCTTATTCTCCTATCACCAACAAAGGCTGCTTGTGCCGGGTCAATGAAGAGAGGTAAACCACTCTTATTTCAATTCGCAATGATTTTGGTGATACATTTTTTTTTTTTTTTTTTTGGATAAGTAAGCTTTTACAGAAAAGGGAAAGAATGTACAAAAGGCCTAAAAGTCGGCCAACCTACCTCAGGACAAGCCCTAGGTTAGGAGCAAAGGAATGATATTATCTAAGTCTACCCCTAATCTTCTCTTTTTCCCATTCCGCTTGTCAAAGGAATGGAACCAAGTAGAGATTAAAGAATACAATGAATCCCACCTACCACAGGACATGCCCTGGGTTAGGTTCAAAAGTATTAGAGCACAAAACCCATATGCATAAGCATTATCAATAAGAATTCCATAAACATGGACATTAACAAGGTAGGGCCCGTTAATGACACAAAGACAAAGCACTAGATCAACACCCTAAGACTTCCAATTGTCAAAGTACCCTTTTCTAGCACAATCACTCGCCGGGATGTCATATAACCCAATCCCCTTACACGACAAAAAACCCATCACATAAATACAAACCATATAATTACCTCTCATGGGATGTTTTAAAAATAGACATGGGGAGACCCCATTTCTCGGCAAGTCTTCTATTGTAGGTATTCTTTATGATCTTGCTAAGGTCCATAGCCCTCTCCCTCACCACATTCTTGATGGAGTTATAGAGCGTAGGTGCATCCTTGCATTCTCCACAAAAAAATCGGCTATTCCTCTCTCTCCAAATAGAGTAAACGGTAGCTCCCAAACTTAGCTTCCCTACTTTAGCTTTTTCTTCCTCCACCTACTAGCTATGTGCTATACATAATCGTTCCAAGGCCGGGTGACATACCCAAGAGAAGAGAGCTCAAGGATTCAGTTCCAAATCCTTTAGGTGAAAGGACAAGCAAAAAACAGATGATCGATCGTTTCTTGCCCATGATTACAAAAACAACACACATTGCTAGAGGTTATTCCATACCTTATCAGTTTGTCCCTGGTCTGAAGCCGATCCTTACATGCCATCCACGTGATCATGGAGCGTCGTGGAATGGCTGTTGGGAACCATACAAGGTGATGCCACTCCACTTGGCATTGGTGCACACGAGTAACCTCCTAAGCCGATTTTATAAAGAACTTACCAGATGCATTAGGCTTCCAAACAACCATGTCCTCGCCCTCCTTTAGATCAAAGTCGATAGAATCCTTCATGTCCATCAAAGCCCAAGAATTAGCTGTTGGCCATCGCCACCTTGTCCCATCCCAAATCTCACACACCTTAGCAAGATGTTGTAGCCCCAAATCATACACAATGCGGCTGCCATATCTATCCTTGAGAGGGCCTCTTGGGCGCCAATTATCATGCCAAACATAAGTTGCTTGACCATTCCCGATGATGACTTTGATGTGCGCTCTAGCTTCCATTCTAAGCTTCAAAATGCTCCTCCAAGCCCAAGAAGCATCCAAAGGTATAGGAATCTCCCAAAAGCTCTTCCTTACCAACTAGGTTGCTTTGATCCACTCAACCCATCCGGAGTCACTACATATTTGATTAAGGTTCCAAACAGGTCTCATCATGACTGCTTTATTCCAATCTTTAGCTCTCACAATCCCCAGCCCACCTTCTTCAACAGGGACACAAACCTCTTCCCAAGCAACTTTGGCCTTTGAGGTTTTCATGTCACTCCCAGACCATAGGAAAGCCCTTAACTTAGCATCAATTTCATTGAGTATATTTGAAGGGAGCACGAAAATAGATGACCAATAAACTTGAATACTAAAAAGAATGACCTTAATGAGAATTACCCGACCAGCATATGAGAGGAATTTGCTTCGCCAAGATTGAATGCAAGCCAAGATTTTGTCCACCAAAGGTTTGCAATCAGTAAGGGAAAGCTTTTTGGTTATGAAATGGACACCCAAATACTTCATTGGTAGCTTTCCTTCTTGATACCCAAGGTGATACATTTATAAATAATGTTGCAGCAAGAAATGGGCCTATAGTCCTTACACAAAGAAGCATTATCACACTTGGGAATAAGCGCAATTGAAGTACAATTTACCTCCCTAAGAAGCTTGCCCTCTTTGAAGAAGTCTTTAATAGCCATAGTCACATCTTTACCCACCACATCCCAAGCTTTCTTGAAGAAATAGGCACCAAAACTATCTGGTCCAAGAGCTTTGTTATTGCCCAAAGAAAACAGAGTGTTCTTGATTTCCTCATCCATCACTTCGGCAATCATCCTATTAGCCATATCACTAGTGATGCAAGGTTCAATAAGTTCCTGTAAACCTCAGTAGTCCCTGGCACCCCTCGGCTCCTCAATTGCTCTTTTAAAGTAGCTGACAATTTCCTCCTTAATGCTCAAAGGGTCTTCAAAAACCATGTCGTTATCACTCTTAAGCTTGGTGATTCTATTTCTATTCTTTCAGCCATTCACACACTTGAAGAAGTAGCTTGTGTTCTGGTCACCGTCTCTAAGCCATTGCACTCTAGATTTTTGCCTAGCTAAAAACTCCTCAGCTCGACTTAAAGATTTAAAATTAAAAGCTTTGGCTTTTTCCTCAAGAATAAGGTTCTCTTCAAGCGGATTAGAGGCAAGAGCATGCTGGACCCTTAGGAGGTTTTCTCTAGCTGAGATATTCCCAAACTCTATCTTGTTAAACACTTTTAATGCTTCTTTGACTCTCTTCAGTTTAGTAACCAATTGATACATAGGGGTACCCCTAACTTCTTCTTCCCAAGCCTTGCTAACAATGCTAAGGAAATTATCATGCTGAGCCCAAAAGTTGAAGGACTGAAATGGGATTTTCCTAGGTGAAGACATAACCCCACACTTAACAATACAAGGAGAATGGTCCGAAATGCTTGGGGGAAGGAAATTGGCTATGGAATTACCAAACACACTGCCCCACTTTTCATTCACAAGAGCTCGATCAATCTTAGTAGTAATCTTATATTCCCCTTCTCTTATATTACTCCAAGTGAAAAAGTTACCCATAAATCGAAGGTCCTCAAGCCTAGTCTCATTACACATATTATTCAAGTCCGAAACATAATTTGTCCACCTATAAGAACCACCAATTTTTTCACGTCCGAATCTCATCGCATTGAAATCACCCATAATCACCTATGGTATTTCTTCAAAATCTTGAGCTTTACCCATCAAGTCTCTCCATAATTCTTTCCTTTCCAATGGACCATTAGAGCCATAGACAAATGAGCAAACAAAGAAGTAATAAGAGTCCAGAATAACAACCTTACCATGAATGGCTTGAGCCGTAGATTGTATGACTTCGAACCTCACCAAACTAGGATTTCAAGCAACCCAAATTCTACCATTAAGGCAGCACACATAGTTATGGATAACATCCCATCCCCCAAATGTCAAGGACTTAGTAACCTCAAAATTTGGTTCACGAACTCTAGTTTCCAAAATACCACAAATTGCAATTTTATTGGAAGAGATTAGATGTCTAACCTCTTTTTGTTTCAAAGGGGAATTAAGACCCCTTACATTCCACGAAGCAAGCTTAATCATGGGACGGCTGGGCGCTAGGAACTTCCCTCGCCTTCTTGGCTAATCTCCTCCTTTGGCTTTTAGAAAGACTTATGTTCCCCTCCTTAAGACCTTCCTTTTCATCTACTCGAATCAAATTTCCGAATCTCACAATAGCTAGTGAAGTAGACCCCATTTCACACCCCTCATTGTTTTCCACCAAGGGAACCCTAGGTGGGGTTACTTCTCTACCGTTGTCACCAGCACTCAGAGCATTCAACCTTTTGCTTACTTCCAATCTCCTCTCTTCTATGTTAGGAATACTTACCCCATATTCATTCCCCTTAACACACTTACCCCAATCATCACGCGCACCTCGATTATTGCCCCTGTTAAGATCAGCCCCCCTAGGAACATTTACCCCACTCATTTCATCCTTATCTTTTCCAAACCTATCTTCGACATTCTCACTACCCTCTTCGCCATCTAGTTCCCAATTATCCAGCCTATTGCCTGAACTAAGAACCACAAATTGATTAGTGGAGGGTTTTGTTTTACTAACCATGACTCTCGACTTATTAATAGGCTGCTCTTTTTTGCGGCTAGAGCTCTTGCCCACATTCTCCGCTTGCACAACTACGTCCTTTAACACATTCTCCTTCCTCTTAGTCACCATTCGCCATACTTGAGTAAGTGACATTCCTTCAAATTAAGCCCGAAAGTTCTACACAAAGAAAAGGCCCTCGATTTCCAAGAATACTCCACCCCTATGTTTACACAATCACCATTCAGGAGGCCTAGTTCCACTGAATTCGGGAATGAAGAAGCTGTGTCAATCTCAACACAAACTCTTGCATACTCCAATCTATCCCCCGTATCCATGATATTATCCATGTAGAGAGGTTTCCCAATAGCGCTCGCAACATAGCTCAACCCTTTAGCAGTCCAAAACTCTAATGGAACTCCATTAAATTTGACCCAAATGGACACACTACTAATGCCTTCACTTGCCATTTTTAAATTCGGACGCCATTTTTTGAAGAAAAGGGGTTGCCCCTCAATATGCCAAAGGCCCCCTTCCAAGGCCTCATCCTTGGAGCTCTCATTATCAAATTTCAGAATAAAGCCGCCAACCCTATTTGAGACAACACCAACTTGGCCGAAGCACTTCCAATTCCTATCAATAAAACCCTTCACAATAGAGAATGGCAACCTTCTACCGAGGAAGAAACCAATAAGACAATTTCCCTATTTGTCCCTCCCTAAATCAGCAACCTCTTTAGGAGGTATAACCCTTATCCTCCTCCAATCATTAAGGATTTTCGGTGCAAAATATTCCATTGGAGCACTGGATTTCGAAACAAAAAGTTTTCTCCAAGATGCAATACCAACAGGCCTTAATTCCCCATCCACCTTTTCCCCCATAGTCCCACCTCCACTCACCGCTTTCTCGCCATGCATCATAATTGGAGGCACCTTTGAATCAACCAGCTCATTCCCATCACACATTTCCACACCAACCTTATCAATCTCTTTTCCACCCACAACTTGCTGCTTCTTAAAAACCCAACCAGAACTCGTTGCCTCACTTGTATTAAAAGAATTCACAAGAAAAGGATCGTTGGGAGGCAAAGTATGGCTTTGGGAAGGTTTGGGAAGTGGAGGGAAAAATTGTTTTTTGGTGATGTGGCAGGGCTGGTGATGTGGCAGGCTGACGTGGCATCTTGGGCAACGTGGCAAGATGAGTCAATATGAGATTGATGAGGTGGAGGGGAGAGATGGATGATTGGTTGGTGAGTTGTCATAATTTGAAGTCAAAGAGATAAGAGATAAGGAAATCAAAGGGGAACCAATGAAAAACAAGTGACATGGCAAAAAACTTATGGAACAGCCTATTAACCGGTCCAAAGAGATGTGGATAAGAAAAAAATCTCAAAAATCTAAATGAGCCAATGAGAGAGAAGGTACCAATGGATAGCAATTGGATGGATTCAAGCTATCTCGCTCAATTAGTGAACAACAACCAAAAATGGCAGACAACTCCAGCCAAAATAGCAAAGCTCCAGCCAAAGAAGCACCCACACTTCGGTGACCAGCAAGAATCTGACAGCAAGAAAATTTTTTGGTAGTAAAAAGAAAAGGATAAGTAAACAAGTCTCCTTGTGTAAGTAAAAAGAAAAGGATAAGTAAATGGCCAACACATGAAGCCTTGACCTCCCTAATAGAAATGGTTGCACCTCCGAGGAGGCTCTAATATTAACCTTAGTGGATCAAGAATAGGAATTCACTAGGCAACCAAATAATTCAAAGATTTTATACTCAATCATCCAATACATTCTAATATCAAGCATTGAAGATATTCTTCATGGATAAAAACCTATATATCAAGCTAACATACCCTTTAAGCTTTCGTAGCAACTAAATATACAAAAAATAGTTCAACAACTGTATGCCATAGTGATAACAAAATGTTCACCATTATACTATGTAGTAACAAATAGGGTTATTAACGAAGCTGATTTTAATCAAAGTAATTCTTCATGGATAAAAACCTATATATCAAGCTGACATACCCTTTAAGCTTTCGTAGCAACTAAATATACAAAAAATAGTTCAACAACTGCATGCCATAGTGATAACAAAATGTTCACCATTATACTATGTAGTAACAAATAGGGTTATTAACGAAGCTGATTTCAATCAAAGTAATGAATGAGCAAACTCAACAATGAACTTATACAAATTAATAAGCAATCAACTCAGAGAAGAATTAAAACATGATAAAGCTGAATGAAAAACTGACACAGAGAGATTTACAGTGGTTCGGCTAAGGCAGCCTACATCCACTCTTCAAGGCACACATTAGGGTATTTCATTCATCATAAGAACAAGATTACAGAGAAATTAAAGACAAACAACTACAGGAAGGAACACGCTCGATAAACCTCACACTCCTCATTCTCACACATATTTGTCAAGATTTATACACAAATAGACTCCGTTGATCAATCACCAACTATACAACAAAATTTGATAACCGTTTGATGAATAATGCACTAGAATCTTCCTCCATAATCGAGACCTAGGGTTGAAACAATTAAGAGAGAAGTGAGCTGTGAAGGGGCAAGGTTGTTATAGTGAAATAAGGATCAAGCGTCACGATAGGGCACTTAAGCTAAAAACCAAAATGACATCGCATAGGCTAGTAGAAACAATTCTTCAAAAAAAGTTTTGCCTTCTTTTGACTCCAATGTGGCAATTTGCTAGCCATGTCATCATAATTCTCCACCTTGGCTTATGAATTGACACCCTAAGTGGCCTTGGCAAAACTGGACTATTCTTAAAGTTGGAGTAGGCTCATACAGAGCCTATGCTTGTTTGCAGTTACTGGTTTGGTGAGCATGTTTGCAGGATTAGGTGTTCCTTTTATCTTCTCAATCTTGACTTCTCCCTTTTCAACCATATCTCTGATAAAGTGGAGCCTGACATCGATGTGCTTAGTCCTCTCATGGAAGACATAGTTTTTGGACCAATAGATCATACTCTGACTATCAGTGTTGATCACCACAGTCTTCTATTCCAGCTCCAGTTCATTCACAAAACCCTTGAGCCATATAGCCTCCTTTGTTGCTTCTGTCAGAGCTACATACTCAGATTATGTTGAGGAGAGTGTAACAATATGCTAAAGTTTCGATTTCGAGCTAATCACATTCCCCCATTACGTAAAAAAAAGCTTGAAGTGGACTTTTTTTTTTTTTTTTTTTTTTGGGGTAAATAAGCTTTTATAGAAAGGGAAAAGAATGTACAAAAGGCTTAAAAGTCGGCCAACCTACATCAGGATAAGCCTTGGTTCAAGAGCAAAGGAATGATACTATCTAAGTCTACCCCTAATCTTCTCTTTTTCCCATTCCTCTTGTCGAAGGAATGGAACCAAGCAAAGATTAAAGAATACAATGGATCCCACCTACCACAGGACATGCCCTGGGTTAGGTTCAAAAGTATCAGAGTACAAAACCCATATGCATAAGCATTAACAAGAAGAATTCCATAAACATGGACATTAAAAGGGTAAGGCCCGTTAATGACACAAAGAAAAAGCACTAGATCAACACCCCAAGTCTTTCAATTGCCAAAGTAACCTATTCTTGCACAATCACCCACCGGGATGTCATATAACCAAATCCCCTTACACGAAGTGGACTTTCTTTTGTCAATGTCCCCTGCATAATCAGCATCAACAAACCTTCTAATGCAGTAGTCATCTTCTTTGTTCTTACTGAATACAATGCCCACTGATTTGGATCTCTATAAGTATCTTAGAATCTATTTGAGAGCAGACCAGTGTAGTTTTCCTGGATTGCTCATGAACGTGCTTACTAAGCTCACAAAATATGCTTACTAAGCTCACAAAATATGCTAGATCTGGCATGGTGCAAACCATTAAGTACTTCAAGCTGCCCAGGGCTTTTGCATATGGAATAGTGGACATTTCCTTTTGCTCTTCTTCTGTTTATGGGCACTGATCGTTATAATTTGATGTGTTACCCTAGGGGAGTTTGGACAGCCTTAGCATTCTGCATGTTCAACTTCTGTACCATCTTTTATGCATAGTCTTCTTGAACCAACTTCGAACTTCCCTGCACTCTACCTCTTACAATGGTAATACCAAGGATTTTTTTAGCCTAACCCGACTCCTTCATTTTAAACTTGGTATTAAGGTTTTCTTCAATCGAGTAAGCTTAGTTTTGTCATGACAGCTAACCAATATGTCATCCACATAAAGCAACAAGTAAATATGAGTCAAATCATAGTTTCTTTTAAAATAAAACCAACTATCAAACTGACATCTATTAAAGCCAATTTCAATCATAAAAGAATCAAATTTCTTGTACAACTGTCGTGGTGATTGTTTTAGACCATAAAGTGATTTTTCTTAGAAGACACACTTTACCTGCTGGTCCTGAATATCCCTCTGGTTGTCATCAGAATATTCTCTTCCAAGTCACCATGTAAAAATGTTGTTTTTACATCCAGTCGCTCTAGTTCCAGATTGAACTTTATAGCCAGAGAAATCAGAATTCTGATTGATGCATGCTTTACAACTGGGGAGAATATTTTATTATAATCTGTGCCCTCCACTTGTGTGAATCTTTTTGCAACCAGCCTAGCCTTATACCTAGGTGATTCTTTTGAAGTTAGGCATGTTTTCCTTTTGAAGATCCATTTGCACTTAACCACCCTGCAGTCTTTTGGTTTGTCAACTAAGATCCAGGTATTGTTTTTCATTAAGGAACTAAATTCCTCCTCGATTGCGTTCTTCCATTCTGATTTTTCAGGTCCTAATATAGCTTCCTGAAAGGTTTTAGGCTCATCATTCATCTCTTCTTCTACCTGAAGAGCATAAGCTACTAGATCTACATATCCTAGTGTATTGGGAGGTTTATTGACTCTTCTGGTTCTATCCTAGATAACTGATAGTTTGTCAAATTTGACTCCTGTTCCCCTTGCTCAGTAGGTTCATTTGTATCATGGTTTTCAAGATTCTCCACAATCTCTGCTGCTCCACCTTGATGGTTAGAAACTACATCCTGAATTTCCAACTCTAGGTGATCTAATCCTAAGGCAATGTCAATTGGTTTTCCAGGTTCATTTTCCAATCTAGGAAGGACCTCTTCCCTAAAAACCACATCTCTACTGATTATACATTTCTTAGTTTCTAGATTCCAGAACTTATAACCTTTTACTCCCTCTGGATATCCAAGAAACAGGCACTTAATGGCTCTAGGTTTCAATTTATCTTCCTTTACATGGACATAAGATAGAAACCCAAAAACTCTTAAGTTTTCCAGTTTTATAGGGTGTCCAGTCCATTTTTGTAAAAGACCTTCAAATCTATGGCAGATGAGGGGGTTCTATTGATCAAATACACCATAGTACGTGTAGCTTCTACCTAGAATTTTACAAGAAGTTTAGAGTTTGACAAGATGCTTCTAACTTTGTCTAAGATTGTCCTA